ACCAATATGCAGCTATGGACATTTTTCCACTAATGGATATTTGAAAAAAGCAGCAACGTCAGAGATGTACAGAATGACAGCAGCAGGTTATTTAACTGACTAAGGTAGAAACTGTGCAAAATCAGCCTGAATGTAACAGCTTATGGAGGTTGTTGAGAACAGTGTCAGTGCCTACATACATTAGCAATGAACCTTTTTCAGACCCCAACTATATTTGCCTTGATTTCAACATTTAATCCTGTGAAGCTGCTTCCCTCTGTGAACCCTTTAGTCATCCAGATGTATTCTGTTTCCAGACGGCTTGGCGGACTGCATGGATCCAGACTGCTGCCTTCAGCCTTCTTGTCAAAACCAATTATACTGCAAAGGGTCACCAGACCCCTCTGAGGTTCTCAGCCAGTCTCCGTCTTCGTTGGCTCCCCAGCAGGTAAGCCACGGCGAACACATTTTTGTTATGCTTGGATTCAAACTGTGACAGTAACCTTATCCGTGTCGGTCTCTGTCAGGCTGCCAGATCTTTCTATCAGCGCATTCACTTCCTGGTTGGCCCAGAATCTACACATGTCATTACTGGAGTGTCTCCTTTCAATAAAAGGTAATTTATCGTACAAACTCTGTATAATATTTTTGTTTTTTTGTGATTTTATGTGACTTTTATTAAACAAATGCATGCAAATATAATTAGAAAGTATTTTTGTTAGGCATGTTTGTTCAGTTCTTGCAGCTTCTGCTGTAACTACTTGGTCTTTCTGCAGGAACAGAGGTGTGAAAGGTATTAATGTTTATTACTCCAGTAGAAGTATAACTCCTACTTTAACTTTGCAGAAGTTAGAGAATCAGCTTAAGCTTTTTACTCCAGTAAAAGTACAATTTTTAAAACTACTTAAAGTATAAAAGGAAAAGTAATGCAGGAAAAGGCTTTACTGCTATACCCTAATAAAGAAACATTTTTCTACAATTCTGGATGATAACTTCCTTAAACTTCATTTTCTCAGTTTTATAACCAATGGTAACATTGTCACATTTAACTTTGCATCATCTTGGAAAACTATTTATTCTGGTACGTGGCGAGCAACAAGTCGGGGCAGCACCCATTCCAACCACAGAGAAATTAACTGCCAAGATTGGCTGTTAATTATTTTAAATTGATTTTTTTTTCTATAACAACAGGCCATAATGAAAATGAACTTAAATTAAACATAACTATGGAATCTGTATTTAAAATGTAAGGAGTAGAAGTAGAAATAATTACTCCAGTAAAGTATAAATAGCCAGAATTTCTACTTAAGTAAAGTTAAACAAGTATTTGGACTTTGTTACTGACAACTCTGTACAGGAAATCTGCTCTAATCCTGTAATTCAAAGATCTG